CCCCTCCACGCATGGCGACATTGGAAACCTGTCAGCTGGTTGTCACTTGGCAACACTGTTGGCATGGAAACAATGTAGAGGAGTTTAAACTCTGCATGGACTATGGACAAAGTATATATGGAAATCTCTCAGCATTGCACTACTGCAAAAAAATGACACGGGTGTATCTCCTAGGTACTCGTACAAACTCTTTTTGTATCTGCTGTTCTATACCAGAAAACGACTAATCTTATCATGCTTTTTAATGTTTTACTCACTTTTACTTTTCTTTCTTTTCTCTTTTCTTTTTTTAATGACCACTGGTCATGCCTCAAATAATCCATTCCAAGTTGTATATTTTTGTTTTCCAATAAAATTTACAATCTACCCGGATTTGAAAATTGTCTTGTTTTCTCAGTTCTAATGGATCCTTGAGTTTGTATGCCCTGTAATAATTCCCATTTTTGTATTGAGGACAGGATGCTCCATTTTTGATAGGATCTTTTTTTTTTTCTTTTTTTTTTTCTCTTATTTTTCTTGTTGCTTAGAATACACATGAAATGTTTACCATTTGAAATAAAGTGTCCCCTGTTATTTCCCCAAAGCACTGAGGAGCATCAGCCAATGCCTCTTAATGTTCAGATAAGCTCAGATCGAATCTGTATTGTCATTGAAATAAAAGCAACGAGTGGGATCAAAGGCTTCTATTTTCAAGTTCACACGATGGTCCTCGACTTTAATTAGCCTTGTTCTGTCCAGCTCCCCCAACTGACTGCACGGGCTGCGTGTTGTCTGCTGCTGATGGCACCATTTAGAAGCTGCCTCATGTCTTATTTGGCGTTGACGCGGTGCAGGAGATTGAGCATACATCAGAAACATGGTGTAAATAGAGGTGTACCTGTTCTGTTTTTTTGTTAATTTCTGATTATTGAGTTTGTTACAGTAGCTTGCAGAGATACTAAGTTTGTTATTTTGATGAATGACAAAAATAAAGCTCTATTGTGGACCTCTGATTTGGCTCCTGTGTGGATTTAATGTCGGCTGCTTTGAAACACTGCCCTGTGAGATGAGTTTGTAGCGCCAATTTAGGGGGCAAAATCCCTAAATTGATTTTTTTTTTTTTTTTTTGTTAAATCTGTGATGGGTTCTGACTTCAGTAAGTGAGGGTTGTTTTTGGCCTGCCCAGTCATGCATGTCATTCAGAGCTCCCTGTGGATGAACATTTAAACCTTTTAGAGCGCAGGCAAAGTGCACTTAAGTTAAAACATAAAGGACTGTGATGCAAAGTTACTTTAAAATAAGCAGATCGTCTGCACAGGAACAAGTTAAACTCTTTTAAGAGCTGCAACAAAAAGGGAACAACACAACCCGCAACAGTTTCAGGTGTGAACTGATGACACAAGTGGCTCACATGTCGACAAAACTAATTATCGCCAGGATCGGAAAAACTCTCACATGGGGAAGTGCAATCACAGTTATTTAAAAAAGCTGTTAATGACACAGAACATGTCTAAAAAAAGGTAAAAGGTAAAGAGCGATGTAGAGTGATTCCTCATCCCAGGTCATATGACACTTCCTTAACAAGCAATCTAAACATGAGTTCTTTCCCTATGTGTTCTGTTGCCTAGCAACCAGGTTGAAAGTTGTGCTTTTGCTCCCACTGAGATTCTCACTTCAGGTGATGGTCGTTAGTTTTGCTGTACATGAACAAGAGTGGTTTTGTGTGTGTGCCACATGAAGTAAGAAACTTCACACTTGGATATGTATAAAAAAAACTTTCACATTTCATGGAGAAAACTACAAAACTACTCATGTCTACTCTGCATGCAAACAAACCTCACAAGCTGCTTCATTCTGCTTTTACACATAAAGTTTCTTTTTAAAATGCACCTTGTAGATTTCTTCAGCCTGCGGAGGTGTGACAGGCTGTGATGACTGCAATGTAGTCCTTGAATTGGATTAGGGTTATCGGTGTCCACTCAAAGTTCTTGTTTTTGTTATTCTCAGAGTCTGACAACATGACACAGAGAGAGAGAGACAATTTTTGTTAAGGAGGAAGATGGGTTTAAAAAAAGAAGAAACAGCTGTTTCATCACTCTCCTCAAAGGCACCAGACTCCACAAAAACACTCATTATGCTTTTAAGAACACAGGAGTCCCTGATCTCCTGCTGCCTCGAAAAACACCTGTTTTGTGTAATGAAGTGTTGCACAGTTACTGTGCTACTTACTGTTTCAAACACCAAAGTCTCACAAAGACACACAACTCCACCAAACAAGGTAGTAGGAGATCAACAGCGTCTTCAGGTAAAATGGCTATTTTTGTCAATGAAGTCTGTTTTTTATAAAAGTGTTATTAAACCAAATGTTTCAGATTCAGATTCTTTTTTTTGCCCCACAAGGGGAAATGTGAGCACACAGAGGACAAGAAACACTAGGACAACATCACCATAATATCGAAGTTAAAAAATCAATCAACACACCATAAATATAAAACATCGCAATAAAATCAGTCAATAGCTCAAACCAAGATGGGAATTCCTGCCAAGTTATTAAATTGGACATATTATAAAAAATCCACTTATACCCATATTTGGGTAACCTGAGTGTCTACTGACCCACAAAATGCCAAATAAACCCATCCAGGGAAAAATGCTCCGTTTCAAATTTGCTCTTCTTGTGATGTCACAGTGGGATTCGGGGGAAAAAATACCCTCCCCTCCCCTGATATCTCCACCCATGGACTCCACCCCCAGACTAGAACAAAACTTTTGCACAGGTCCGCCATTTTTTATCCTCGCTAGTGAAGGAGTGATGTCTACGGGGAAAACTCAGGTGGGGCTCATTGCATTTAAAGAGACACACACACCAAAACGGAGCGTTCTGAGAGAGCTGGTTTATACAGGGTCACAAACCTCCTCTGGTGCTTGATTCATGTTATATTTTGACCAAAGCACAGCACAGATGTTTCATTTAGATCACAGGGGACTGTTAGAAAAGGTAGGAAAAGGGGGATAATATGTCCTCTTTAAAGTGCAAAGTGGAGGTGTGCAACTGTGCAGTTCAAGTGCAAGAAGAGCAACCACAGGGCTAATTGTTATTTAATATATTAATTGCACTGGGTACAAATGAGACCTGGAGTCTTTAAGTCTTCCTCACAGGAGCTCAACAACGAAGACCTGAGGGCGAAAGGTCAAACTCACTGTGAAGATGTTTCCTCTCTAACTAAAAGGTCTATCTCGGTACAGAACCTCTCTGTAGAGTTGCTAAGAATAACAATCTGAGCCGGTCAGAGACAAAAACTATAACTTCTAGTGCAGTGTTTTTCAAAGTGGGGGTCCTGACCCCCTGAGGGGTCGCGCCGGGGGGGCGCTACTGGGGTCACGGAAACTTAGAAGGAACAGGGTAGGAAATGTAACAGAGAAATTCAACTAATACAATTATTTGTGAAAATAAACATTTTAACATACTGTATGTCTCATTAGAGGTTATTAAAGGCAGGGTTGGTCATTTCCTCCAGATCCACTTTTTAAGATTTTAGTTCATGTTGTCTTTAGGTCCTGACAGAAATTAATAACTCATGTTCTCTAAAAAGGAACAAAGAAAATCCGTCATCTGTAGCAGTTGTAAGCCTGTAAAAACTTCGACCAATGTCTGCCACGAGGTACCAATCTGATGAACCAATCAGACACCTCCCTGCTCCTTCTCTACCTCTTGCATGCTCTAGCCCACACTCAAAGCGCATCATCGATTTTATACTGTGAGTTTACTTACCGCTGAATGAGACATGAGACGACGTAGTTTCTACACAATGTAAGAGATGAGCTGATGTCCAATTCTGGAGCAACGGCGCATGTAAGTGAGGGGCGTGGCTTTTGAGGGAGCACAGAGGGGAGGGGGTGCAGACGGAGCACTGAGGGGATGCTACTTTCAAAATCATGCTAGTTTTGGAAAATTACCAACCCTGTCTTTAATAAACAATTAATAATGTATTTGCTGATTTATTTCATTTTTTTCTTCTGTCATAAACTGTTTTAATAATCCTAAGAAATGGCCTGGTGTGCTTTTTTTCCATGTTAAGAGAAGGTAGGTAGCTATTTTTTAATGGTACTGGTACAGCTGCTCGATGCTGATTGGCTAAAATGGTGTGTCATCTTTAAATTGAAAGGATTGGCACCCACTACCAACATATTGCCTGTTAGTTCACTGCAAGTAAGACAGAGTGCATTACTTTCCTATGGCCCTGTCTTATGAAATAGATGTGCAATGTTTGTATTTATAGTTTGAAGTGCAAACAAAAGAAAATATGCTACCAGCAGCCTTCTGCAAAAAAAACTTAGTAGTTGGTTTTGACATAAGTCCCGCCTCTGAGAGGGCAAATAGCCACAGTTTAGCATTTTTAAGATTAAGATGGGGGGCACCTGGGCTGGCCAATCAGATTTCTAGGGGGGCCCATGCCACCCCTGGCCACCCCTCTGGACACACCCCTGAACCCTCTGGACACCCCAGAGGTTCGGGAACCCCACTTTGAAACACATTACACTATAAACATTTTCATCCTTTTGAACCTAATAGTAATTTACACACCTCAATATGTAACAGGAAGATGCAGGTTTATTGATAAATGCCTTCAAACTTCTAAGTTTCATTATTTTTTGAACCTCAGGGAGTCCCTATATCACCTGCCCTGCACCTTCCAGATATTTAGAAGACTCAGACATGGACGTATTGGCTTGCAATTAGCATTTCAATGCTAACTTGGATCTGTACCTTCAAATAATATTCATAGTAGCCCTTCAAATGTCACACGCTGGTGCATGATGATGAGGATTAAGTAAGTAGCGGCACCATGTACACAGTGTTCCTCGATGCTGGCTTACCATTGTGTCTCAGTCTCATTCAAACTGGTCGGGGAGTCTAAATTTAGCCCTCCACCAGGCCGGCTTGTTGAAAAATTGATCGATAGTGGAGTCGCTGCTATAGTAACAGTCGCAGTTTTAATGGTGGTCAGGTGTCACCGGATCTCCAGCCAAGCAGATAGTGAAGGAGTGAGCCGGCTGCGGCCACATGGAAAAACAGAGCCATCTGTAGAGGCACTGACATGTCCAGGGGCGGTAATAGAACAGATAAGGTAAGGCTCCTCAAAGCCCGAGTAACTGTGTGTGTGTGCTTTATGAGGACGAGACACGAGGAGATGCATCAACACATCGTTGGCACAGCAATGTCATCACAGCAGTGTGTGTGTGTGTGTGTGTGTGTGTGTGTGTGTGTGTATGTGTGTGTGTGTGTGTGTGTGCTTCTTATCTGCAGGCCGATGACAAGGTGGAGCGGTGTGTCCGGGGGAGCTGGTGGCTGGGAACACTGAAAGTAGGTGTCACACTGCAGGATGACTCCGGTGTGTAAACTCTGCAGAACAACAACACACACTTCAGAACGATTAAAAGACGACACGACGAGCATGTGTTCAGAAGATTTCCCGTTAATGGATTTTCTTACATCGAGCTCTCTCATTATTTCTATCTGCCAGAAATAGCTCAAACACTCACACTACACTGAATCAAGCCCCTCAGTGCCTCACAGTGCATGCTGGGTAATAATGCACAGACCTAATTAATTATCAGGTTATCTTAATGTGATCCCAGCTCTCACGCTCCATTGTTAAGCAGCAGCCGTCGTCTTTCTATGAATGGATATATATATATAGCGAGAGAGAGAGAGAGAGAGCTGACAGTGGACCAGGTGGCAGAACAATACGTCTTTGTATGTGAACAGCAAGCGAAGCTTTGAATTCATATGAGACAGTCGACTATTTTGAGTCAAGAGGCAAAAGCTTTGACGGAGAGATTTGGCTCCCATGCTGCTCCTGCCCAAAGATGAAGAGGCCTCAAGTTAAAAGTTGTCATATGAAAATGTATCATAACTAATAAAAGCATGTGGTTGAGCTGTTGTACTCGAAATCGGTCTTGGTCTCGTGACCACTTTTTGAAGGAGAACTTGTCACAGAATCAAAAGCATTTTTATTCGGTCTTGTCTCTCAGACTGGGCAGACTTTGGATATCAAATCAGGACCGGTCAAGATCACCACTGATTGGCTTCTTTTTTAAAAATCATTACTGAGATTGGAAGGAAAACACCTCTTTCTAAAAGAACAAATAACTTCAATTCATTCATAGTTTGAGTTTTGTCCTCCAGTTACGTCCGCGACCTTTCTGGTGTTACAGTCCAAGTTAGGGACACAAGATGATGATTATTCATTGATATTTACAGTCTTGGTCTTGATCCTTAAATGTCTTGGTGTTGTCTTAATCTCGGGGCACTCTGGTCTTGGGTATGTCTTGGTCTTGGTTATGGTCATGAAGTGCAACACTAGCACCAGAATAAATATTATAAAATGTGTATTTCATATTTTAACTACTTAAAACAGTTCACCTATGTTTGTGTTTCTGTTGTTTTGGTTGAATTTGCTCTTTAATGTTCAGTACGAACATGCTCGCAACAAAAAGGTTAATTAAGCACTCAAGTCTGCTCAATATCGGACCAACCTATACTAAGATGGTGGCTGAAAAATCCAAAATTTGAGCAGGAACTTAAATGTTATCATGTGGGTTGTGCACTGATTTTACACTGTTATGACCTCACAAAGGTAGTCAGAGCGCTGTTAGCTTTAAGCAACGTTATAAAGGGATTCAGTTGGCGGGCTTTGGCGCCCATCAAAAGGTCCCTGAGTAAAAAAACACATATTGTACTGACATAGCCAGCTTGGTGTAGGCCTTGCACCTTACTGTTTGGCGGAGCTCTGACCTGTATGTAACATCCTGTCCAATATTTCCTCTAGTACGGCTTCTTGCTCGCTCACTCTCTCTCTTTCTTTTGTTAGCTTCATCCGTCTCCGTCCTCTTCCTCTCTTCCTTCTTCTATCAAACAGTGCAGAGACAGGCTAACTGGCTGCTTGTTAGCTAAAGTCAGCTGTGTGAACTAGTGCCGTAAAGCTGTACACATTTCTTGCAATGATAAAGTTCAAAGTTCCAAGTGTCTGAGAGCCGGCGACCGGGGCGCTCTGTGGACATAGACGCCATTCTGCCTGTTGAAATTTGGCCACAAGTCGCCAAACTTCACCCCTCTCAAATTCTCCCAGGACACTCCCAACCCAGGCCTCTATCACATCCGTGACTTCCTGGAAGAAGCTGAGCTGAACCCGGTGAGGAAGACGTACAGCTTTAAAGGCGTGGGGAGGAAAGCTCAAACTCTGGGTGTGCGTAAGGGGGATCTGCTTCTGCCAGGAGCGTACGACTACATTGACTCCATCCAGGAAGTTCTGACAAACCAGGCATCGTACTCTTTCAAAAACTGCCCGCGGCCGGACATCGTCACACTGGGAATCAGAGACAAGGTAGGGTTCAGACATCTGACCATGTTGAAGGGAATGTTCTGGGAAATATATCTATTTGCTGACAGTGTCTTCTTGGCCTTTTAACATTTAACAAAAGCTGCAGACTTCCTGGTGGACAAAGATGTTTGCTATGTAACACACCCCACACACACACATAAAAAGGTGGCTCATGGTGACACTGACATTTAAATCTGAACTCTTCTTTGTCTGTATCCCCTGTACCAGCATATAAACACTTCACCGTGCGACTACAATGTGACTGAGAAACCGGTGGAGAAGACTCCCTGCAAGTAAGAGCTCGAGAAACAGCCTCTCTTTAACTCTCCCATCACAGCCGAGCAGACAAACTGTGAATCATCTCTTCATCGCTGAACCCTCCCTCCCTCCCTCCCTCCTCATCTCCGTCCCTCCCTCGTCTCCTCTCAGCTCAAAGATGGAGGAGCAGCAATCAGCATCCTCCTCTCTCATTGTCTCTTCTCTGATCATGCTCGGCCTGATTTCTTTTTCTCTCCTTGAACTCTTCCACAGTCAACCCCCCCCTCTCTTTTCTCTCCTCTTCTCGCAGGCATGTGATGTTTCGCTCGACTGTGCAGCGGATCAGCTTTCCACCTGTAAGTATCCAGTCACCAAGACTAGTTATTAGGACCATTCAGTGTTTCCATTGCCCACATAAAGGCTTCATTACAATGCACTTTCAATGGGTTTTGGTTACAAGCCGTGCCCTAAAGTGTTCCTGTATGTCCCGTGCAGTAGCTAGTTATGACAACCACAAGGGACAGAGAAAACTGATCCCACAGGGTGTCTGATGGTATCATCTGAGGGGCCCGTTATGGCCCCGTGCTGGCTGACCAGGCAGCTGTGGTTCATGTTGCAGAGTGTCGCAGCCTTCGCCCTGTGTCCGTGCGGGTAGCTGATGGATATTTGAGCCGTCCTGGCAGCTGCTAAGTGTTGACAGAGAAGGAAAGGCGCTAAGAAATCCCGAGGGTGTTATTACTGCAGAGTTGGGAGCAGTTTTCTGCTGTTAGTGGTGTCACAGCGACTCCAAGACAAGTCTATTGTCAAAGGTTAAGCAGCCAACAAATCCCGCAGCGAAGTTAACTGGAAGCTCAGCTCGTTCAGACAGCTGGCCTGACGGGACATTAGCAGATCATAAATGAGGAGACTTAATGGTTTACAGTGGCAGCTCCTGGTCCGTCCTCAGACACTCCCAGAAAAAAATAAAAATGACACAGATTTCTACTCATACAAAGAAAATCCTCCAGTGATATTTGGATGTTTGGGAACATTTCTTTTTTTCTGATTTGACTTAATTTCTCCGTCCCCAGGCCACTGTGTGTCCCAGACTTACATGTTGTGCTTTTTTGCTAAATCGTCTGCACGTGCTGCACTGAAGGAACAAATCCTCCCCTGAGATTCAAGCGAATTAAAGTCATAATCCCTGCACATTTCCATATGAATACACGTCTTCCTCTCTCAGCACACAAGCGATTCAGCTTTTAAATACGGCATGAAGACTTGCTGTTCAAACACCTGCTGCCTCACCAGCAGCTCGGCTCAAAGCTCGTCTGTCCACATGGAGATATCTCGACAACTGCTGGACGGATTACAGTGATTACAGTGTGCAGACTTTCATGGTGCACTGACGATGAGTCCCACTGACTTTGGTGATCCTTTGAGATTAAAAGTGAATACAATAGTCACAATAGCTTTTTGAAGAGTCCCCAGAGGATGACCCTCTTCCTGACGTTTCCACTTGCAGCTCCAGCAGCTCCAACTTTTCTGATATTCTGTGAAATATCTCAACAACTTGGATAGGATTGGAAAATCTTTATTATGTCCAAGGAGCAATTTGGTTTGCAACAATGGCAATACACACCCTAAAAACAGCACAAATGCTGGATGTGAGCGAGATAAGGGACACAAAGACCAACAGTCAATAGTATAAGTGTCCTGACAACAGGGCCTAAAGCTTATTAAGAAACCCAACTTCTGATGGGACAAACGACCTTAGATATCTGTTCGATTTGACTCTCCTAACAAGAGTGAACCTCCTCCCTGTCGGCAGAAGTCCTAACTATGCATGCAGAAGGTGCTGAGGGTCTTCAGAGATGACCTTTGCCCTCTGAGTGTCTCTTATTGGAAACACAGCCAAGATCGTTCCAAGTCAACGGTGACAATCTTTCTGCAAAGTTTAAATTGAGCGCAGCGTTAGTTCTGGCGGGCCACAGAGTCACGCTCTCCTATCATGCCAGAGCTTCGGTAACAGCTGATCTCACACAAGCCTCATCTGCTGATTTGCTTCAAAGCATCCTATTGGCCAAATAGTACTTGTGCCGCCTTATTTAAACTGCTCTAGCCGGTCTACTCTTTGCCGCTCCCTCTGCCGTGGCCTCGTGTCTACCTGGCGTTTTTTTCCGGGCAGAAAAGCGCTGGCTGTACACTCAGGAGTGTCTGCATGAAGTGTTCGTGCTCTGAGAACAGTTTGTTGAAAATGGCTGCTGTATGACCGACACTGCTCTGTTACTTTTTATTGCATTTTTTAGATTTTTTAACCCGATCAGACACGGCGCAAAGAGGATGTGAGTACAAGATATGATCTGTAGCAGGCCAAAATACATTTTGGAAAGAGCGCCCGTGATGTCAACAGCGCCTTTCTGAAAAGTTGAAAGATTTTCAACTTGAGCACATGGAGTGGCCACACAAAAACGGCAGAGCACTAGGCGCTGCACTTTTCAACCAGGCGGCTGCTTTCTGCTACGAACGATCTCTACTCATTTAAAACAACTGGAAAAAGATGCTAGCGCTGAGAAAAAAACGCTAGGTGGACACGGAGCCTTTCTTGTAGCAGTACAGTCAGTCGAATATTACGCCAACGTTAGAGTTAGCACCAGAAGTGACACGTTTTTGACTTCCACAACGCCATAACCACAGAGTCAAATCACACAGTGTGCCACCAATATGAAGGCGCTGTTTGGTTCAGTGTCAAAGGCAGAATAAAGGCGGAGCTTCGAGATATTGAGGAATCTCTGTGTTTAAAGAGCTACACTCTCCCTCACAGGAATTTTCAGTGAGTGACAGTTACCTTCAGGAGAACAGGAGGAAAGTAGGCCAGCTGCTTCACACACACACACACACAAACACACACACGTTTCACTGCTGTCCACCAGCTCCTTTAAAACACACCTGCATTAGCACCTCTGTTAGCATCAGCGAGCTCGCAGGCTGATGGCGGAGGATCAAGTGACACGGATCAAATGGCGTGCAATGTTAGAAGCTGTCTGAGGAGCTGAGAGAGGAAACCTTAATGTCAGAATCAGAGAGCAGCTGAAAATAAAAGACTGGTGCTGCGTTCAGGGACAGAGGGACAGTTTTATGTCTGAGGATGAGGAGGGTGGAGGGGGGGCGATGCTATTTCTGCCCGGCATGCCGCTGGTGGTGACCAGTATGTGTGTTATTGGGTAAGAGGAAAGGAGAAGTGAAAGGCAACGAAACAGGAGGAGAGAAAGTGTTTAACCCCTAAATAAGGATCACATAGTCCAAAAAAACCCACAACAAACCAAAATTAAGACATTAAATCAAAAAAGTCCTCAAAATCTACAACTTGAATCTTATGCGTCTGAGGCTCAGTGGGAGAGTTGGTCGTCTCTCAAACAGAAGGTCAGGGGTTCGATCTCCAGCAACAACACAGTTTCATTAACGGACAGTTTTAATGAAGATCGTGAAGGTAAAAAGCAAATGGAGGGAGAAAAAGAGACGTGCTCACACCAACGATAACTGCTAGCCTTTAAATACAATACGATAAGGCTAAGTCAGATATTTACGACGGAGTATCAGGTTCATCTTTTTTTGTGGGGGGGGGGGTTGTGCCTTTAATGGAGAGATAGGACAGTGGATAGAGTTGAAAATCAGGGAGAGAGAGAGAGTGGGGAATGACATGCGGGAAAGGAGCCACAGGTGGGATGCGAACCTGGACCGCCTGCTTGGAGGATTACACCCTCCATACATGGGGCACGCACACTAACCACTGCGCCACCAGTGCCCCGAGTATTAGGGCCATCTTAAAGAAAAAAATATCTATAAATTTGAGATTAAACTCGTAAATTTACAAGAATAAAATCATAAATGTACGATGATGAAAGTAGAACTCTTAAAGTCTTTTCCTCCCAGTCAGTGTGGGTCTTTCTTCAGTTTCTTGCAGTATCTTTTCAGGGTCCTGATATTTTTCTGACAATGTGAAGACGATGATGTGCCAAAAGCATGTGTAGTTTCGTATCTGCATAAGAAAATCCCCGACACAACTATTGGATATTTGTTTCTGTTATGTTGTTAGGTGTCTGCCTTGTTAAAGTGTCTCATGTGCAGAGCCAGTTTGTGTAATGTTACAGATAGGGTTCTTGGACTAACTGGGTTTTACCAACTACACAAGGAAGTAGTCTATTTCCTGATAAGTGAAACCTTTACTAAAGTATAAAAATATGCTCCACGTTTTTGAAAACCTATAGGAGGCTGCTTTTCTGCTATAGACTAAAATAACAACTTTAATCTCGTAAATGTGCAAGTTTAATTTCAAAATGTTAGCGTTTTCTTTTCTTTAACTTGTTCCTAATGCTCCGGCGTAGAAATTCAATCCATCAGTAAGTAATATGTTTTGTCTCTGTCTTTCACAGAAGGAGGGTCCGGCTCCGTGTCAGTATGATCCACAGTCCAGACCCTCGAGAGGCATCACATCCTGCTTCAGATCCAGATTACCTCGGCTCCACTTTCAGCACTCAGTGAGTTCAGCACTTCACCGTTAGCTTCATTAGCATCTCCTCTATGCTGTAGATGCTAACAGGTTTTCATACATTAAGTGCAGCTTGTGTCTGTCGTTAACTCAAGAAACTCAAGACTGTGAAATTTCAGTTTCTGTTTAATAACCTCTAGCTTGATGACGGCAGCTTAGTGTCTCTGTGGAAGTAAACATGTTAAATACTGATATTTCACTATCGACTGAATAACGTTTTGATTATTATGTCCCCGTTTAAAGGTCACAGTTTTACAAAACAGGATCTGGTAAATAATGCTTCATATTAAGAAAGAAGTAAAGATTAAGGCAACGTTTACAAGAAATGAATACTCCGAAAACAGAATCGTTATTCTTTTTCATTTTTAACAGGCATCCACGTTCGGACGATACACAACCACCGTGCACACAGATCCGCGGAAAACAATTAAAAACGCTATAGTATACATGCCAGGACAATAGTTGGCGGTGTGTCTATGTGATAAAACACATGGCTAATGCACAACAAGGAAGGGGCAGGACTTCTACTGTCGACTTTATCAACAACAATGGCAAAGGAGAAACTAATCTGACTCGTACATTGAAGGGTTCAATTTGTAGAGCTGCTGATGCTAGGACCGTTCTGTTGTTTTCATGTTTTTCGAGCAAAATTTCATTGAATATGAAGAATACCTTACGGTCATTGTGGAGAAATGCAGAAGTGATTTGAGCCAACTTTTGTAACCAAGTAGTAAGCAGAGATGAGAAGCGCTGCTTGAACATAAAAAGCTGTTACTGGACGCAGACCTGAAACTAATCTAAAGTGTTCAACAGAACACTCCTGGACCAGGCGCCTACGAGCCGAGCTGGAAGTTGGGTGACCGTCTGAGCAAAGACGTCACCTCAGATCCGTCATTCAGTCTCTTCTTCCGCAACCTCTAGTGTGGACTTCATTTCCCACAATGCCTTGTTTCCAGCTCCTCATCCTCACCACTATGTAACATGAGCCGTATTCGATTAAAGGTAAAATGTGGAAGAGAAATACGCATTCCAGTTTTTTATTAATTGCTTTTTTATCATATACTTTGACTAATTGTTGTGGAAATTTCCGAGGCTGTTGGGGCTGTAGTCAAAAATCGAATGGGGCGCCCTCCAGCCAGCGTTCATCACCATCATGTCTGCCAGTTCCTGCTTACACGCTTACTCCTCTCCCTCTTTTTACCCCTCCTATAAACGAATAACTCCTCTTCATTTTCCTTTGTTGACTTTTATTGACAAACTTTGGTTTTCACATCACAGAGCATCAAGATCAAGTGCTGTCAGATGGGGCCCCCTTAGGGAGGTCTCCTACTGTCATTGCAAAATTTGCACATTTTGCACCACTGCTTTGGTTTTAAAGTTTGTCAGCCCTTAGGGGCCCCAAGCTGTTGCATGCCTTGCCTGTTGACAAACAAAACCTCTTAGCAACAATCCATTTAAAATCACAGGTCAGAACTTAAAGACATTTTAAAAGTCCCTTTGGTGATAAAGTTAAAGTCCCTTACAATCAGGCAGAGGAGTTTACGTTGTATAACACATTTGTGCAATGTAGACAGCGTGCAAGAGGTAACCGGCCTTTTTTGATAACTTAAAAAAAGATTGGGGGATGACATGAACCTTGAGGTCACAGGCCAGGAGTCGAGTCCACTGTGTTAAAAAAAAAAGAAGAAAAGATCAAATATTGATTGCCTTTAACTCTGTTTTTGTTGCCATGGTATCAACACAGTTATGGATATTGTTTGAGTCTTACATGAAACATAACTAAGTTAAACATTGTGGTATCATAACAACCCTAACTTGGTCTCAGTTTATCGACGTGTCTGGAGGGGATCTGTGCTCTGCCAACAACATAATCAGCAACATTTGTTTTGTTCAAATCGTTTTAGCGACGCCAGCCAGGGGAGCAAGATGATCTTATCAGCAACGAAGAGTACCTCATTCCACTTAACGACATGTTCCTGGTACTGCCCCCCCCCCCTCCATCTCTCCCTCTGCCTCCCTCCTATCTCCGGCCTTCGATGCTCTCAGGAGGAGGAATTCTGCTCAGCCATGCGTCACATGCACATAGCTTACTGTGGCATGCTGCTCCCTCAGATAACACATTCAGCATTAAAGAGCCGAGGCAGCCGCGCACAATAAAACAGCTATTCTTATCGCTACCTACTCCACGTACTCGCTCTGTCGACGAAACAAACACACGGGCAAGAATGCCGGGTCACAGAGAACAGCAGCGATACAGGTCACATAATAATGGTGCACATTACAGAGTGCATGCATGAATAAAAACATAGCACATGTGTTCTTCTTCTTTTGTTTTGAATCATGTATTTATTCAGAAGGTTTCCCTGAGTGCGTGCATGTAGCTTCATATTCACAGATTTAGACACTCATGTAGGGGATCGGCTGAATGTCGTTGCACAGACAGTTGTTGAGGGAGTGGAGAGTTATATTCATCCAATCTTCAGACACAGATCCTGTCATCAGATCCAAGCATAAAAATACGCACAGCGATTATGGAAACCGACTATATTAACTTTGTGAGTTTTTATAAAGCCAGAAATGGAAAATAATACTGCTGCCGAATCAAAAAAAATCATTCACATTACTTTTAAAGGAGCAATATGTAACTCTGACCCCTAGTGTTTGAAATGGGTACTTCAGTCCAAAATCAAAATAATGCAGAGGGCTGTCTCCCCCCGCCCCCTCCTCTCTAGAGTCGATGCTCACACAGGTCACCATGTGGTGGACACTGAAGCTTCAGTGTTTATCCAGCTCTGCATCGGTCTGTAAACCTTTCTGTGTTCTAACCTCTCTCCATTTTTCAAAAGCATCTCCAATATTGATCCTAGTTTGAGCACGTTTCTGCTCGTGGAGCTTATTAGAAACATGCAGAGGCTTTTTAGGTCGGGTACAATCACTTCTATCTGAACCACTTCTCTTGCCCGCTTCCATCGCTGCAACACCTGTTGGTTTGACCTGATAACTGCTCTCATATCTGGCAACCGAGGGGCATCCAAAATGGCCTTGTGGGGGGTGCCTTCAAACCACCTACCTTCTCTGGTCCAAACAAATCCAGAGCATTCAGGACCAGAATCTAAAGTTAGAAGGAGGACATACTGGCTGCTGCATTGTTGTCAGAGAAGCCAGCACTTCAACATAGCATGTTTCCTTAATGTCAGATCATATAGTCATTTTAGCATTTCATCTGCTACTTTAACTTATTTCATATTTTTAGGTTTTTTTTTGGGCTTATTGCTGATCTGAATGATGGGTTGGTCCAATTTAGTTGCTTGTTAGGAGGTTTAAGCCCTGCCTCCTCTCCACCTCTTTGTCTGTCGTTAGGTTGACCAAAAGTTTGATTCATTCAGGATTTCTAACATGATGACCACCATCACTGAAAGGTGTATGTTTATATGGTCTATGGGTCAGTTGCACAAGTGGGAGGGGCCTACAAGGAGACAGAATAGAGAGACAGGAAATGTGGGGAGAGAGTGGAGGATGACGTACGACAGCTTCATGATTGTAAGTCAATTCTGCAACCAGTGTGACGAGGACTGATGCGAGGCGCCTGCTCTCCACCGGCTTGTACAAAGGCCGTACTGATCAACAACTGATATGAACAATAAATAATAAGACTCTGTTTAGTAAGACAGGTGTCATAAGTCTTTGGATGAAGACAGTGACCTCAAACAGATGATGAGGTTTTTTGAGTGTTTTTCAGGACTCTCTTTTTTTGTTCTAATGAATTCCACTTTTACTCTCTGATGCTGTTCTGTTGTGTCAGAGTGAACATTAACTCCAGAGGAGTTGTTATTCCTGAGACAAAGGAGAGGAAGACAATCTTATTAACACGCAGCTTTACATGGAGGGCCAGTTGTGTGAGTGTGTGTGTATCCGCTGCTTTAATGTGTGTGTGTGGTGAGCAGCCATTGCGCCTGTGGTCAGGGCACCAAGCCCCCGGTAATCTCTGCCTCTGTCGACCTCCAGCGCGCCCCTAGCTCTCTCCTCATCTCAGCGATCTCTGCAGTCCACCACTGATCTCTGACATATGCCTCATACTGACGCCTTAACACCCACAGCTGGCCTCGACCACAGGCACGGCCACGCAGCCGCTCTCTTCCTGTCAATCAGATTTCCCCCTCACAGACACACACAGCTACACAATGACATTAATGCACATACACACACATGCACTTGTGATCCTTTGCTCTTTAAAAACACTCTTGCAAACTGATGCTCAAACCTGCAAATACACACACACACACACACACACACACACACACACTCACACACACACACACACACACACACACACACACACACAGAGATACAACAAGAGTCAAGCCTCACTTCTCCTTTTCTTAGAATGTCATGATTATAGGTGGAAGATGAAGTTAGAGATACATTAATGCACAAAGACAAGCACACACCATCACGTCATTCGGGGGATAGTTCCTGTCCTCACACCTGGGGCGCTGATAACCTACCAGTGAGGTCGCGCCTCATGTACGGAGGCTATAGTCCTCTAAGCAGACAGCCCGGGTTCTAGTCCGACCTGTGGTGGTTCCTTTCCTGCATGTCATTCTCTCTCTCTTTCTCTCTCTCTAAAAAAACAACAACAATGAAAATTTAGATCTTAAAACTTTGCAATAGAAACACAATAATTCCTTTTTTGAAAGTAATGATTTTAAGACCCCCGAGTAGGTCCCAGGGCTGTGCATCTTCACTGGTCTTATGATTCGATTTGTTATGATTATCCTGTCAACGATTCAATTCGACATCACCATGGTTTGCATCCTACATTTCTATATTACTGCACATGGCTACTTTTTCATCAGTGAAGACAAGCAGCTAGATGACTCGTACATTCAAGGGTTCAATTTGTAGAGCTGCTGATGCTAGGACATGATTCCTTTCTGTTGTTTTCATGTTTTTCGAGCAAAATTTCATTGAATATGAAGAATACCTTACGGTCATTGTGGAGAAATGCAGAAGTGATTTGAGCCAACTTTTGTAACCAAGTAGTAAGCAGAGATGAGAAGCGCTGCTTGAACATAAAAAGCTGTTACTGGACGCAGACCTGAAACTAATCTAAAGTGTTCAACAGAACACTCCTGGACCAGGCGCCTACGAGCCGAGCTGGAAGTTGGGTGACCGTCTGAGCAAAGACGCCACCTCAGATCCGTCATTCAGTCTCTTCTTCCGCAACCTCTAGTGTGGACTTTGAGTGTCCCAATTTGACCGGGACCGTCCTGCTTTCAAGCTTTGTGTCCCGAGTCCCAACAAATATCTATAAAACACTCATATGTCCCGGTTTGTAACAGTCCCTGTCCTGGTTTTAACCAACCAAAATAATACACCGTGCTTGCAAAACTGATTTATCTGTATATGTGTCAATCCATGTAGTTGCCAATGCTGTTGCTGTTTAAACCAATAGAAAAGCAAGGGATTAGAACTGTTATGAGACTGACAACCAACTTCACCGAGCTGCTCAGGAGGAAACCTTGACCTGACACCTTGTGTGACCAGCGGCAGTCACCGATCTGCGGAATGATACAGGAGGGTTTGAAGTCAAATTAAAGTGTCCTTATTTAGAGGTTTGAAATCAGTGTCAACATAAATGTCGGAAAATCTACGATGTACTGTCTCTGCATGTAGAGACGACTTATTTCAACACTTCTAATAAATTACATTTTTATGTATAATCTGTAAATAGAGATTATGGAAGCCTGTTTGTGTCTGCATGCTGTTTTCAACATTTTTGGTTTACCTTCAGCTAAATATTGTAATGAAATCATGATGGGGGGGGGGGAGAGGGACGTCCTAGTCCTCTGCTGTTAATACACGAGTCAAACTCCTTGACTGTGCTATCAGATTCATCACTGGTGATAGATATGATGTGCAACATTGTGTGTTGGGTTGGTTGGGCTTCTCTTGCAGAAAGACGCATAAACCATTGGTATTTGTTTATCTTACTGGTAAGCTGCCTCCTTACATAACATC